TGACATCGGAGCGTCCTTCCCGTTGTCGTCGTCGCTGCTCTCCGATTCGCTCCAATTCTTCCCTGGGTCTTCGCCAAACTGCTTGTCGTCGAGAATCTTTCTTATGGCCACCTGACGAGCTTTAGCACCTTCACCGTCCATGAAGCCCGGCATCAGCCCCGCGCCAGGTGGCACCCCCTGTTGTGTATCGGTATGGGGGGTAACCCTGCTGTGGACGGCCTGGCGGACCATGCCGCTCGGTGCCGGCTGGAGCTGTACGGCGCCAGCAGGCGTGATCTGGGCAACACCATGCCCAGCAGCTGCACCACTTTCACCTCCACCCTGCAGTCGCAGAGGCACCGTTTTCGTTCTTGATGGCCGGCCTGCCACTGCTACGGCGTTGTTGTTCATGGTGTGGGTGTATAACGTCTGTTGTGGGAGTCCTCGGGTCTCTCGCCTGGTCGGGACCGGTGTGTGTACGTCGAGCCGTGGCGCTTTCCGTAATTTTTGAAAAAATACGCGCCTTCGCGCCTTCTGCCGATAAGAACCACTGGAAACCCTAGTTACGGTTCCGTGAAAAAAGTTACTATTCGGTGAAAAAAGTTACGAATTTTTGCGGCCTGATAAGACACACCCTTACTGCTGTTGTTTCTCTGCTTTTAGCTTTTTGCATGTTCTTGCATCACCCCTTGCCGCGGTGCTCTCTTTACCCCACTCCGGAGGGATCCCTTGTATGACCTTGTAAACTGCCGCGATAGATCTGTGTCCTACTTTATTTCACAGAACACACAAATCTCTGATTCGAGCACGTGCGGGTGCCATGTTCATCCTACAACAGCAAATGATGCCCCAACAATTGGAGCAGCGGTACATATTTTGCACTGTGGGATTTTTCGTGTGGGAATCTCCATCTCGTCTGTGCACGTGTGGGGGGGTAGGCCATCACGGTCTGCCCATGCTCATCACTTTCGTGACACCCCGTCGTGACGCAACATCGGGCATCATGGCAACAACACCACTTATTAAAGAAGGACGACGTTGTTTTTTAGAGGATCTGTGAGGGAATAAAGTCGCAGATCCGAGCGACCTTCTTTTGGCCCCTCGACACATACTGATTTTTCCCCGTTATTTTTTTCCCACCGGCCAACAGGTCGATTCAAGATTTTGTGGGTCACAAGAATATGCCTCAGTTCAAGTTTTCGGCTCGCGTCTGACCAACCTGACACAGAGTGCCCTAATTTTTGGTCGCCTGCAGAGGGAATGTGTTGACCTCCACACCAGTGACTGCTGTGAGTGGATATCGTCAGCCTAAGGCCCCTCTCTGGCAAACGCTGTTGACTGGTCACACTCGGAACATTCAGAAACAGCAAGGCAAACTCCAAAAGGCGGCATCGTAGCACACTTCGGTTCATCTTTGCAGGACCGTGGCCAGGCCGTGGCGAATCAAACATGAAAAATTCGCCCTATTTTGGAGATGTGTGCAGAGGGTATGTGTATGGCCTCACGCCATCGACTGCTGTGTGGGGATATTATTGGGCGATGCCCTCTCTCTGGCTTACGCCTTTGACTGGTCATTGGTCACACACGTAGCAAGCACGCGGCGGAACGAGAAGTAAAATCAACCAACATCGAACGACACTTCGGTTCCCGTTTGCAGGCCGTGCTCAATCCAAACCGGGTAATACGCCCTTTTTCTGGGACACTTGCACAGGGTATGTGGATGATCACACGCCACTGGCTGCAGCTTGTGGGTGTCGTCGGTCTATTTCCTCTCGCTGGCATGCCTTTGTTACTGGTCACACATGAAGTATGCACGGAAACGACCCTTTTCGGCCGAAAGGCAAGACCTTCAGCAGGGCAACGTGGTAGGTTGACGGTTTCGGCTCGTGTGCGGACAATAAGACGCAGAACGGCCTGAATTTTTCGTTACGGTTGGGGACCACCCACTCTTCTCAGTTTGAACGTTGCAGGTTGTTCGAGGAAAGCAGACTCTATTGTGCATTGGAGACTGAAAATATACCAACAATGAGGCACGGAGCGGCGAAGCCGCGACCGTTTTTCCCTTCAATCCCTGGGAGGAGAAAGTGGCTTAACGTATCAGCCTGTTCACACGCGATGCAGGGGCCCAACACGTATTGCCACGGACCCTAGATAACACTCGTTTTCCACCCACACAAGACTTATGTAGAGCACCGATTGACAATCTGCTGGAGTGTGAGGAGTAATAATATTCGGGTACTCTTCTTCACACCGATCTGGTGGTGATGCGACCAGAGATGGCCGTTTTTCACAAAAGCCGTTTGTCCCCAAAATTCGTACGAGATGCCTCACCCTAACAACCGCGGGAGTTGCCGATCGAAATGGGGAACATTAAGCGGAGATTTCACGTGCCCGAAAAGGAACAGAGGCACCACTCAGCTACGAACGCAACACCACTGGGACGTATGTATGTTTATCCCCCACAGATTCGGGGCCAGCTGTGAAAAACAACAGCTGCCGAACCTATTCGACCTGCGCGCCGTAGTTGCGCCATGCACCGCTCATCGGCAGACAGGGCAGCGGTGAGATTACACACACAGCAAACACACCTTCCCAAGCCGAGAGAATATCCACCACTGAGGGAAACCTTCTAGGGCTTGGGGGTCTACTGCTGCACGTTCTCAGGGTGATTGCCCGGGACTGGTTCAGGTTGCTTTAGCCGCGCTACTGATTGTGTTCGAAGACATTCGTGAATTTCGGCAAAGTCGTCTGCCTGCCTGTGGTTGTTGGTGCTGAGTAACTCTTGCATACGATCGGTGTCAACGTGTATGTCTGCTGCTTGGGCAACAATGTGGTAGACTGGTGTTGCTGTCACTTCGCCGGAAATTCGGCAGGGGTGAGACGATTGGAGTGTGGCTGGTGCTGGTGCTGGTGTCCACGGCGGTGTGATTTGCTTGTCGCCAGGTAAATTCAGCGTGCTATGCCTCTTCTTGTGATGCGTATTTCTTCCGTTCGCATTGGGCCTTTGGCGCATGGCGGAATACTTCATGTGTTCGTTCTTCGACGGTGGGTGGCATCAACGAAAAACGAAAACCCGCCTAGGGGCCGCCTCCCTTCGTCGGCACAAAGCACCTCGTCGCGCCCGTCGCACGCCTGTGTCTGGTGCACCTAGCTAAACTACAGCGTCAAAAATAGACGACAGGAGGTAGTGAGTCACCCCGAGGCCCATTACCTCTCCCTATCTACAGCAGTAGCGTGGTTCGCAGTCAAGCTTGAATTACTCTCGCAAAAGTGGCATCAAATACTAGTATCAACCTATCTGCCAGGTACAACTGTGCCCGTCGTTATAAAGGTGTCAGAGTATTAAACAACGTCGGTTGGTAGTCGGATAGCCCATCTAACGAACACAATATTCCTCAAACCATTCACCTTGACCTCACCATTCACCACGAAACCGGTGGTGTTCATCGTGGAATTCTCCACCAATATCTATGTTCCTCTGAAGTCGTTGTTTTCAACTCTTTGTCCTTACCTCGTACACCCAAGGTTCATTAGCTTCGACAGGCGCCCTACTTTGCAACCCTCACCGTTTGCATCGAGGACGCATCATTCCCCGTTTTCCCACATGTTTCGTGTATGTCCGTGTTCCACACTTCGAGGCGGGAATCGACGTCTCACACTTACACTTCCGTTGAGGCCGGGGCAGCTGCCTTGTTTTCTCGGCATGGCCAAACGAGATGTGCGGTGCCATGCTCGAAAATGTTTCCTCGACGTATTTGGACAGCATATGGCTAGGGTGGTATGTTCTCGTTGGTCGCTACCCTACACCCCCATGCACCAACAGATTGTCACCTCAAGCTCCATGGACGCGGGTTAGAGGGTTAGGACGAGTAGCGACCAACGAGAACATACCACCCTAGCCATAGGTGGGGTTATCAGACCCATCTTACTGTACAAGTTACACGTGGCACGCACCCTAGGCTTTGAAGCAGGTATTCATTTTTTGCAGTCGAGGGGAGAAGTAGGGATGTGGGGACGAAAAAATAGCTGCCGGAGCAGCTTGCCTTGATTGACGACAATTTGAGGACAGGGTCCTGCACCGCCCTAATCCCTGACCACCCGCATTTCCCTCCGTCACACGTCAGATGGATTTGTACCACGGGAACATTCGGGAACTCCTGCAGCTTGAGGAGGAGTTGAATACTCTTCCGTGTAGCATTGAGCGCAGCGCAAAGGTAAACCTGCTCAAGTTCCTTCAGGTCAATGCGGTGGTCGAATACGAGAGAGTTTCCACAGCCCTGTATTTCGACCTCCGACGGGATGCGGGATTTCACGAGCTGTCCCTCGTTCCAGAGAAGAACCATTTGGGACATACCTGTAGCCAACCGATGGAGGCAGGCTCCATCGAGGATTACCTTGTGCAAGCTGAAGAGGCCAAAGCTTGCCTGGATAGGCTTATCTACTCTATCGCGACTCCGGGGGATCCTAGGTGGGAAGGGATACCTGCACCCATCAAGAGCAAAGAAAGCGCAAGCCGGAAGGCCGATAAGTTGGGGAACGCTCGCTTTGTGACGGACTTCGCGCGCGCTACGTTCGTCTGCAAAACCCCGCACGATCTCGTGGAGGTCATTGCACTGCTCACCGACGGGATTGGTCAGGTCAGCACAAAGACGTTGGTGCACTGCAGCTTGTCGAGGACGTTTTATTGCGCCCCGTCCGACCTTCCGATAGCCTTGTCGGACAGGTCACCGCGCACGTGGTCAGACGGACGCATACTAATGAAGAGTGCCGACGGACACCGACATTATTGAAGATCTGCTGCCACCCTTTCGCGACGCCCCAGAATTGCCCTGCTGCCGTTTTTTCTGATCCGTTTTCGAAGCAACTAATGTACCGGGGCGGATGGTGCAAGTCTTTCCACGTCTGTTCCGATTACCCGATACTTTTTTCTTGGTGCTCCCTACTTTCACAACCCCTGTCTTTCCTTCACCACGCATGCTGTTGCAAACACGACTTGTCGCAACTGCCCCTGTTGGTATTTTTGTTCCCGACACTGTAGCTGACGCGGAAATAATTATCGCCACCTGCCGAACACCCAGGAGGACAATCTTCTGCGCGTATCCAACGGTTTCTTGCGCAACTACGGGCGGAACGGTTACAGGGACGTGAAGATGATCGTTCTCTTAGCAGGGCATGCTTGCGAGATCCAGCTACACCTCCGATCATTTTATGGTCTCAAAGATGGCCAGCATGAGGTCTACGAGTGGTCCAGAACTCTCAAAGTGACCGCAGAAATACGACCGGAGCACCTTTTCAAAGGCATGCAGCCCGAGATTCTTGAGTTGATGATACAACTCGCTGCAGCGGATTGGCATTCAACCAACCTTGCTCTCGTCCCGTTGCTTCATAGAGCTGGAAAGTACGCCGAGGCCCGGGATTTACAACTTCAAGTGAGTAAACAAGCCTCGACAACAGAGTCCAGTTTTTGGATGCCATTGTTCAGCCAGAAAGCGTGTCGCGCGAATTTTGGCGCTGATAGCACGCACCTCTGTTGTTTGTACCCGCAGATCGTGGCCTGCTCTCAAGAGCAAGAGCGTGAGGCCAAGCTCCGACACGGGCAAGACAGTAAGGAGTGGCATGCAGCCGCCCAGGACCTTGCGACCGCACTGGCCACCCGCGCTGCTTTGCTCAAGACCGAGGTAGCGTTGAGGTTGCCGTAGAGCCCGTAGGCTGTCGTTGGGAATGGCCCAGCACACGAATGCATCTGTCGGTATTGGGTGTCATGGACACAGGGTCTCGAAAGTTTTGCCCGGTGTCCACAAGGTGTAACAGATTCGTCGATGAAGCTGTGAAATAGAAGCCCTGACAGCTCGCTCTCGACAAGTCGTGCTTGCAAAGCTATTGAAAATATGGATGCCGTGGCTCTAGATGTGTATGCGGAGCCATTTCTCGGTGTTTTGTTTTTATGGCCGCGCTCGAGGTCTTTTGTCACGGAACAGAACATGCCAACTACGCGATGAACTCTTGACCGACGCGTGGAATGTCGCATGTTTGCAGGGCAAGTACAGTGAAGCGGACTCCCTGCATCAACAAGCTCTCAATACCAGAAGCGAGTCTCTTGGACCAGTGCATCCCCGTGTAGCCGCAAGCTTCAACGATCGAGCTGGAGTGTGGGAAGCACAGGTGAGTGTGATGAGGAAATCTTTCAATCCTCGATCATGCCTTGTGCTCGAAATCGGTTGCCTCGTCTTCTTTCCATTCCGGGTGCAGTCGGCCACACTTTCCAAAGTTGTTTTCCTGGAATCCAAGCCCCCTCAATAATCGAATTCTAAAGCCCTGCATGTGTATGCGAGTGGCGTTGAAACATTGCATCAGGGCCGGAGAAATGAAAGGCCGAAAGATTTACTCAGCGCTCTCGTACTGCCCGACAGTGGAAAATTTATGTGTTCACGTTCGTTCATGATGGGGGGAGATCGACAAAGTGAAGGTTTCCTGGAGGATTTTGGAACGGAGATGCGATAAGCGAGGGTGTTTCGCATCATCTCCGTTAGAGCATTCCATAGTGATTGGATCCTGTAAGCGTCGGGTGTGTTTGGTGTATACACCCGATATCCGATATTTTGCACGTGTTGTTTTCTCGGAAGACACGAGTGACTTCTTTTCGCCGGGCGCAGGGCACCACACCGGCTGCACACCTCTCAAGCATATTTAGGCGCCTCACACCCATGGGCATGGTGTGTGGGCCTCACGGTCGACTTTGTTTATTTTCCAACAGCATTTTCTCGGGTGGAGACAAGGTGAATCTGTCGGAGGTTGTGTCCGCAACCCCTCGGGGTGGACCGCCTCCTCAGCTAGGGTTTTCAGGTACCTCATATCTTCAAATGCAAACCACTTGAAAAGACCTGTTTTGTGAATTCTACACGATGGGCGGGGAACTCGAAGCTATCAGTTATTCCCACTGGGTATACCTCATATTTGGCATTCCAAAAAAGAGTAAATCTTTGACCGGGGGATTTGCCAGAATGTCACGTTCCAAGAGGTTCGTCGTCACCATGGGAAATGCATTCAAACTTGCGGAGACCATGTTTCGTTCGAGCTGGGAACGGGGTGTTGACACAATGCGTTGCTCCAACAAGCTCACCTTGTCGACCCCCAAGGTTTCCCGCTTTGTATCTGTCAAAATACGTTGAAGTGTTGACCAACCACCATGCCGGTGGTGATGGAGCTGAGGCACCCGAAGGTATGCGAGAGTTCCTCAACCGACGTCCAGTACTGCACCACGGAAACACTTGCGCTTTCGAAAACCCCATACTACGCTGTTGTATCCTGTCTCCAACCTAGAATCGTTTACTGACAGTACCGTGATTGTCGGGGAGGTGGCGCCCCCGTGTTAGCGTTATTTCTCCACGACCACGGGAACACCACTGCCGAAGAGAGTAGTTTTGGGAACGTCGCGTTGAGGGCTTTCCTGAGAGGTATCGGTTGGTATTCACACCCTCCTAGTTGTGGAGAAATACGCTAGAAGACATCGCTAACACGGGGGTGTAACCTTTCCTGCGCCGGGCAGACGTACTCGCCTCGTATGTCGCCCTGCACTGAGAGAAGATGCCTCGTTCCCCAGCGTGGAATGCGTCCGGCAAGTGATCTACATAGGTGTTGGACCCGAGGTAAAAAATTTCAGCGGGATGGGTGAAGTGGTCCCAAGATCCTCTGCTACAATAGTCATTTGTTTTCGGAGCAACAACAGGAAGTTCCCTCTTTGCGCTCACAATATTCCAAGAAACCAGATGAGTTCCAAAATTTAAGACCCACAAGTCTGGTCGATATATTATTCCCGCTTTTCACAAACCCTTGACTCTGTGGAGGGTAGAACACGGGAGATCCATTGCACACAATGTTTCTTTCGTCAAAAATGATCGAGATGTCGCAATGTAAGATAGCATTTATAGTCTATGACTGTCGGGCGAATGTTCTGCGGTGCTTATATTTGATCCAGGGATCCGAGCTTGCACCGCAAAGGAAAATATCGCGTATCTGTTTGAAGGAAAATATCGCGTATCGTTTTGCTTTTCAAACATGTTCCAGGGCAAGTACGCCGAAGCGGAGCGTTTATGTGCTAAGGCCATGGAAATTTTCGAGGAGACTCTGGGCTCCGGACATCCAAATGTGGCATCAGCGGTAAACAACCGGGCTGCGTTATTGCGAATGCAGGTACAAAAAGTCCATCAATATCAGTCTTTTTCGCGGCGTACTACTCTCTGGCCCTCGCGGAGAGTTGGATTCGTCGGGAGTATGAAGCATGATGGGGCAGGTTGGGCTGACCATCACTTGTAGGCGTTGTGGGTTCCCGATTTCCTAAGGGGGCGGTACCAACCTAGGTCGCGTCAAATTTTGTCGCAGGATTCGTCTACTACACATTCAGTGTACCAGTGCCCTATTTGTGGGTGCATCTGCCCGGGCGTGTGCTACGTCTGAAGTATTTCATACTCGTACATAGAGAGATCTTCACACTCGTACACACAGATCGCTCGTACCGAGAGAGGGCGGAGCAGAAGTGTGTTCCCCAACAAACCTCCTACAATCGTCCTCCTCCGTTTACGTTGATACCAGCCATCAACTGCGTACTCGCGGGGGAAGACTTTTCGACTTTTCCTGCATAGGCGAAGGCGGCGTTGTGCATACAACCAAGTGAACCTTGAAATTTATGCTCTATTTCAGCTTTTGACGCGATGCCTTGAAAACGCAAGGGTTGTAATCGGACGCTCGCGTGTCAGAGGCACGCCTTCACCTGTACATCGCACCTTGCTTTGCATGGTAAACTGCTGTACGCACCGAAACATGCCACGTGCCATGCGTGTGGACTGAACATGGCTCCAATTTCCCGTAGATGATCATGTCCCTAGTACAGTCCTTGAGCCGTATGCGACATCGGGTTTCCCGCAATAGTTCTGTTACATGTAATCCTTGAGAAGTAAGTAGTCAGAGCTGGTTTTCAGGCCCGGAATCTGACATCATTGCGTACAAACCTAGGAGCAACGGTCTCCAGTGAGGTGGGTACTGGGAGAATTCTTTTGCACTGTGTGCACGCAACCAGGCACAACCTTTTCTTCGAGTCCTCCGTCGTCCAGAACCATTGGAATAAAATCTCGAGAACCAAGCTTCCCTCCTCCCCCCCCCCCCTCCCAGTCTCACCTCAATCTAAGTTGAATATGCCGAGGAGTAGCACAAGAAGATGCCATGCTTCGGGAGAGAAAAGGGAGGGTACAAAGGCACACCCAGATTCTGTTTTCAACATGAGGTACATCTCACAGTGATGACGACCTAGAATCTCGAAGAAATTATTGCTGGAGTTTCGCCACAAGACACTCATGTCAAACACGAAGAAAGGAAATTTCGCGCCCCGAAAAGGTAAACCCTCGCCGATGGAAGATGCTGCCGAAATTCCCCAATAAACGAAAAGGTTAGCTAGCCATCGTCCTCATGTTAAGACTTCGTATGTCTTTGCCCCAACGCTCTTCCAGGGAAAGTACGCAGAGGCTGCGCCACTCTATGAGCGCGCTCTGGCCGTCGAAGAAGCCGCTGTTGACCCTGAGAGTGCAAGTGTGGCTGTGACAATCAACAACCAGGCACAGCTGATGACAGTACAGGTAATGACCGCCTGTACTATGAGCATGTCACCTCTTGGCCCTTGTAGCGGCATCGGTCACGCTGCTGTACGGTAGACAGGGCTGTGTGGCCGAGGTGTTTGTACTAAACTAGATCATCCTATCGATGTCGCTCTTTATCGACGCTTCAGGGAAAGTACGTCGATGCGGAGCCTCTATATGACAAAGCCATTGAGATATGGGAAGGGGCCTTCGGTCCTGAGCACCCGGTTGTGGCAACAGCTCTCAGCAACAAGGGGGGCTTGTTCGTGATGCAGGTGTGTGTGCCGCTCGTTTAATTTGTTTCGCCTAGCTTCTCGTTCATTTGTCGGGATTCTGCCAACAATACGGCTCCTTCTCATGTTAATGAATTCAGGACAAGCTCGGTGAAGCTGAACTCTTGTATGCGCGCGCCATGAACATCTGGGAGAAGACCTTCGGTTCTCATCATCCATCCGTGGCTGCAGTGCTGAGCGATCGTGCCTCGATACTGGTGAAGCAGGTGGGATCCAAAAATGGCGTTGACACATGCCTTGCGGATTCGGACAAGATACTGCACGGTTGTGAAAAGCGTGCTTAGAAGAGTAGCTTTACACACCGATTCTCAACGGCGAGCAGCTCCAACGTACAATGATGGACCCCCGTGTCTTCCACTTCTCTTCATTCGCCCTGGATTTCACACGATGTTCCAGGCTGCATGTTGATATACCGCTTGGTTCAGAGCTCGAGTCCCACGGACGTGTTTCGGAAACCCGAGCGAACTCCAACGCACACTGGTAGAGATCTGGGAGGTTTGTTCACGCGAAGAGGCCAGCAGCCGACGCTGACAGATGTTCCTGCGTTCCTGTCTCCTCCGTGTCCCGATGACCTGAATTATGTCGTGTGCTGTCTTGATCTCATCCCAACGCCCAACCCAGGGCGAGTTTGAGAGAGCGAAGCAGATGAACGAGCGCTCGTTGTCAATCCGTGTGGTGGTTCAAGGCCCTCACCATCCCGACGTTGCCCATTCTCTCAACAATCAAGCCATGTCGTTGACTCTACAGGTTGGTCAAACAAGAGTTTGGATCGGCCACGGCCAATGCGTTCATTGCTTAAGGCATTGACTGGGGTCAAGATGGTTCTGCAAACGATTGAAGGCTTGCCTTTTCCTGCTGCGAACATCCCATATCCGTTCGTATATCGTTTCAGAAGATATGTACTCATGTCGGGAAACAAACTGATTAAATGAGGTGTTACTACTGGAGGCGAGTCCTTTGCCGCAGCTTCCGCTTCGGTGCTGGGCCGCACCATGGACGTATGGTCTGATTGGCGTCGACGACGAGTATGACAAGGATGCCCAGATTAATGGCTGTTTAAGACAATTTAGTAAATAACGACATGAGTTTGGCCTCATACCTGCGAGGGAATTTGGGAGAACGCTTTGGACGTCCTTTTCTCGCGCCTGCGCCTTCCTCGTGCGCCGTGCAGGGGGAGTACGAGCAAGCGGAGCAACTCCAAAGAAGAGCCCTACACCTCTACGAGACAGCTTTGGGTCCACAACACCACTCGGTGGCAATAGCTCTCAGTGTCTTAGGTTTGACGCTAACGGATCAGGTGAGCCGCTGTCCGCATAAGATTTGGCTTTGGTTTGGATGCAGAAGCAGCTGCCCCTCGAGTGTCTCGATAGTAGGGAGTCCTGTCGAACCTTCTGACCCATCGCCGAAGAAGACCCCATACGAAGCATCTGCCACGGTGTTGTAAGGTAAGTCGTGCGATGACAATTATCAGTATCGGGTGGTTAGACAATGCGTACACTCACAAGGCGACACTCTTCCGATCAACTCTCCATACGTGCTCCTGGTACCTTTTTGGCGCAAGGCGATTTGCTCTGACCAGTGTGTGTCCTAACCCCCAACCGTACTGAGTCTATTATCGCGTTGTCCGTCTGTTCCAAGGCTAAATACGATGAGGCTGAACCCTTGTACGCGAGGGCGATTGAGATTGGACAGCAGACACTGGGACCCAGTCACCCTGACCTGGCCACGTGGCTCTACAATCTAGGGCAAATATTCAGCAATCAGGTATGACTGGGCCCATGATTGCCTTCAAAGGTAAAATGTAGATCGGTCGATAACTTGTGCTACCGAAGAAGAGAGCGCTCTCATGAACACTTTTGGTGAGTTATTCGAGCGATTTAGCGCTCGTTCTCTCTGCTCTCTTTGCCTACATCCTGAAGTTAATGACGTGTTACCGTGCGGCTGCCGAACTTGTTCGGTTGACTGGGCTTCTCACTGTTTGCTCGCAGGCCAAGTACGACCAGGCACAGCCACTGCTCGAACAGGCGTTATCCATCAGACAGAACGCGCTCGGCGCAGAGCACACAAACACCATCACATCTCTTGGAGGGATGGCCGACTTATTCGTCAACCAAGGCCTCCTCGAGAAAGCGGCCCCAATTCTGGAGCAAGTTGTCCACGCCCGTGAACGTGTTCAAGGATGCGAACACCCAGACTTGGCTACAGCACTCAACAACTGGGCGTCATTTTTGCAAGATCAGGTGGACGTTTTAGTGCTGCATGTGTAAATCTGTGTAATTTTCTTTCAAACCCAGACTTGCCGCGCTCTCGACTTCCATTGTGTTTGATACATTATTGTGTGTCAGAGGGGCCTTCATATGTCTGGGCGGTGTATCGCTTGATAGGCTAGAATAGATGGACGCGTGTCACGCAAAGCCTGCTCGCTGTCCAACCAACGCGCCTGACACTTGATCTTGGATATAACATACAGGGTGAATACGAGCAGGCATACCCATTGTATCAACGGGCACTTGAGATAGATGAGAAGATCTTCGGCCCCGACAACCCCGAGGTCGCGACCAATCTCAACAATATTGCTACATTGCTGGAGAAGCAGGTGGGATTTTGGAGGAATTTGTCGATCAGCTTGCGTAAGGGGGCGTCCTTCGTACGTTCCTTTTACTCCTGCCTTTTTTTTTTTGTAAACGTTTATGCTGAGAATGGCGCTCCCCGTTCTTCTGGCGTGCTGGTTCGCACTAGGCACCATGTACTATTTTTTTAGAGCTGTCGGCACGCACTGAACCTGAGACGAAGCAGAACATTTTAGGGAAAACGACACAACAGGGTATACCCTGGTCGAAAAGCGACACCCCTGGGTACACAGTCATTAACAGCAGTAAATGCATTCATATGATTGGTCAGCGCCCAATTTCACCCCGGTACGTCCGAAAAGGCGCAGGGTATACCCTGCTGTGTCTACTTTTCTCACCAACTGTACCCTGTTTTCGGAAGTGTACCCTGACCTGACGGGAAATAAGACCCATTCATCAATCATTTCCCCCGCAGGAATCTTCCCAACTCCTTTTCCCCTCCAACCATGGGGTACCAAACGGCGAATCTTCCCACCCAATAACAACCATGGCAACGCGGCAGGAATGAGTTTCCGCCCCTGCCAAACAACACCAACCATCAACTCTTCCGCTCTAAATCAACAATGGCCGGGCACTACCCCAGCACAGCAGTTGTTCCGTTTGGAAACATGCACACGCGTACAATACCCCGTGCACCACTGCTTGCTGCAGTCTATATGCGACATGCACGGGTCACCTATGAAAGCGAGACCGATCCAGCATGGTTGACATGCATATATGACATGCATATATATATGCATGTATGGACACAGCACTACACGGGTAACGTTGGGCGCCGCCACTCCCTCCTGCCTGTGCCGTGTGTGCGTGGGTGTGTTGTCTGTTGTGTCTCAATTGCGATGTGTTTCTTGCTTGAACTACTACTACTGCTGTAACAGCAGCGGTCGCGCTTATATATTTTTTTACCAGCCGACCAAGCCGACCAACCAATCAATGTATGTAGTAAGAAGACGTCAGGCTTCAGCGGGATGAGCCGATGAAATACACCGCGAGCACAGGGAGGGTGGTTGAGTTGGACGACACAGCCCTGCTGCTAGAGTTGTTAGCACTCGCTACTCCTTCCATGATTGATGTCAAGGGCGTGTCTGTGTGTGGTGTTGCTGCCTCTCTCCTCCGCCCGCTCAGCGCAGCGCCACACATCATGGGCACATACATGCATATATATGCATGTCAACCATGCTGGATCGGTCTCGCTTTCGTAGGTGACCCGTGCATGTCGCATATAGATAGACTGCAGCAAGCAGTGGTGCACGGGGTATTGTACACGTGTGTGCATGTTTCCAAACGGAACAACTGCTGTGCTGGGGTAGTGCCCGGCCATTGTTGATTTAGGGCGGAAGAGTTGATGGTTGGTGTTGTTTGGCAGGGGCGGAAACTCATTCCTGCCGCGTTGCCATGGTTGTTATTGGGTGGGAAGATTCGCCGTTTGGTACCCCATGGTTGGAGGGGAAAAGGAGTTGGGAAGATTCCTGCGGGGGAAATGATTGATGAATGGGTCTTATTTCCCGTCAGGTCAGGGTACACTTCCGAAAACAGGGTACAGTTGGTGAGAAAAGTAGACACAGCAGGGTATACCCTGCGCCTTTTCGGACGTACCGGGGTGAAATTGGGCGCTGACCAATCATATGAATGCATTTACTGCTGTTAATGACTGTGTACCCAGGTGTGTCGCTTTTCGACCAGGGTATACCCTGTTGTGTCGTTTTCCCAACATTTTACCACCCACGGTCGTGACAGGGTAAGCAAATGAGCCTTTCCAAAGACAAGACCAATTCATCCAAAAGTGTAGAGCAGTTGCAACGGAGAGTAAAGCAAAAACAAGGAAACTTGCATACGAAACCTACGCAAGCATTATCGTGTTACGATGGATCAAGATCGTCATCGTGCCGAGGAGTCGTACACTGAGGGCATTTGTTGGGGGGAACGCAAGATATCTTCTGTGTGTAAGTTCGCCATTGCGTGCATCCATCATTTGATCACAAAATTTGTTGCCGTCCCCTGTTTCTCTTGATGTTGTGCAGGGGCGGTTTGCAGAGGCTGACGCACACTCTCTGAGAGGCATACAAATTGACGAGAGAACTCTAGGCCCTGATCACCCGTTCCTCGCGAAGAGTCTAACAGTACGGGCGAGAATCATGAGGGGTCAGGTCAGACCGGCAGCACGTTTATCATTTTTCTATGAAGTGTCGATGCTTCGCTGTAGATATCGGTAAGGGTGCAAATGTTGAGGTTGACACAACCGATCCGCAGAGGCGCTGCCTTCCGTCTGTAAAGAACCTTCGCATGTACAAGTTGAATTCCCGCTAGGTCACACGCTTCTATCTTGCACTGCGGTGTACTTTGGTGAAGCCTCCAGTGTGCCATGTTGGAATCTCGGTGTTCCCGTGTCCGTTGAAGCTAGAGCCTCACCAGTGAATCCTCACCGATGTGATACTTCCGCATCCACGTGCCCCATCTGCGTCAGGTCAAATACAACGAAGCAGAGAGTTTGATTGCTAGGGCGCTGGAGATCGGCAGTAGGGCCCTAGACTCCTCCCATCCCACCATGGTTACAATTTTGGGCGAACAAGAGGCGTTGCTGCGAGCACAGGTTAGTGCTTTGGAAGCGGCACGACCCACCTGTACGTGGAATTTACGAAGGACAATAGCAGCTCTGCTGGCCGTGTGACTACACGATTCGATTTCCTCAGATTTGGTGATTCTCATTGCTGTCGGTGAGATGGCAATAGCCCCGTCGGCGTGTCTTATGTTTTATCGCATTTTCAATAACCCACAACTCTTGCTGGCCAGGGGAGGGCAACCGAGGGTGTCCAGCGTTTCGAGACGGCACCGGGAACAGCAACATCCAGGAGAGCCGAAAACACATCATTGGCAAACCCAACCCACCAAGAAGACACCCAGAGTTCTAGTGAGTGAGCAAGTTACAAGCGAAGGGGGCAGATACCCACGTTGCATCAGATGTACGAATGACTTCGGGAGGACGACAGTAAACTAACGCGAGTTGGGCCACGTAGTCACACCGCAAGAACAAAACCGAAAAAAATCAGAAACATGAAATATATCTGTTCGTGGTGAGTTTGGATATTGTATTCACTCCGAGGATTGTATGTGTGTGGGGGGGTATGCTGTTGGGTCCAAGCGCGGGCCCCTCAAGAGAGAGCACGCACATGTTTTCGTTTGTTCTGGTGCTTCCTTTCTGTGTCTGGAAGTGTTTATAATCAAGAAGGGTTTATGTCATTATCGTCCGGTCCTGGGTTAGCATATTCCCCACACTCGACTCCAAGGCCTCCGCGGGAAGGCGAAAAGGCGCCAACATGATTAGTCGGGTTTGGTATCCTACCGGTAGAGGGGTTGGTCGTACGTGATGGCGGATTCGTGGTAAAAATGAAAGGGCAGCAGCTGCGGAAAGGGCAACAGCATCGGCTGAGAAATGGGTAGCGGCAATGAGTTGGAGGAAGCGATGGCAAGGATCGCGGAAATGGAGCGAAGAAGAGAGTTACGTTTGGGTACGGGGGAAGCTGGGAAGGCAGCTGGAAATATAGCCCGGTAGTTGCCCACTACAAATAGCCAAATATCACCGGGCACATGTTTTCGAGTGGCAGGGTAAACGTAAGCCATGAGCTAAGCTCCTTTCAACCCAGATGTTGTGGGTCGTTTTTGGAACACGAGAATGAAGGACAAAAAACCTTGACCGTGTGATGTTTCCAGAGCCTATGCTCGACGGTAATATAGAGCATATCGAGCCAACTCTCTGCCTCGAGCGAGTTCTCGGCACTCATGGTTCTGGCTTATTCAAATCAACGAGGTCTCCGCCACTTCTTTTAAGAAAACATGCTGCAGTAGGAAGTCACAGGGTTCGCCGTATTGCCTACAATTCGTAGGCCCAAAGAGACCCAACCTCGAGGTCTAAGTGCAAATATGCAGACAATACAGTAGACCTGGATACAGCTCAATTGACATGAACAACGTAGCACACTACAACTCGTGCTCTTTCGCGTGTAAAACATGCTTTTGTTCACCCAACGCATTGGGTTTTAGTTGCTATACATCGTTAACGTGCTAGTGTGAATCCCCTAAATATGTGACATGTTCCAGGCGGAGGAGGATGCGGCCGAGTGGCTGATGGAGCACGGGGACCCTGCTAAGCCTGTAGTGAGCTTTATTGCTGGCTCCACGGCTCCCCCGGCGAGGCACATGGGGCATGCGGCCCCTAGGTTCTCAGGCGGCAAGGGCACGACTGCCCGTAAGCGGGGATTCTGAGCATTGGATGCCCCACTGTGCGACACACGTGGCATCTCAGTAAATCCGACAATGTTGGATGGGGCACTTGTAATCACACATGTAATGCCAAGACGACGCGATATGCATATCGGCGCGACAAGCGTGCCGCAACTGCGGTAGATCCATCCCAACGCACAATGCGGAATGTAGCAGGTGCAGAAGTACATGCGTGTCGCACGAGAAGGTGGACGATTCCAGGAAACACCTTTGCCGCGGGTGACAGCGGTACGTACCTCTGCCGGTGAAATGGGGTAGTTTTTTTTTTTACATCAAATTGACTCAGCGCTCACACACAGCATTTCTGCCTTTTAGGAGCGCTCCAATCCGTGGTCACACAGAAGGGTTCCTCTCCGTCCGTCCCTCCCTAGGCGTTTTGGCTACGATTGTTTAGGGACGACAGACGAATTTTCATTGTTGATTGATTTTGAGAAGAGCGGCAATAGCGCCAGAACATGCACACGAGACCTTCAAGACCAGTCGGAAGGCATCGGGAAAGCAGAAACAGTCAATTATCGCACAGGGCGGCAGTAGATGCTGCTCCGAACAGGCATGTCATGTGTGTACCTCCACACGCCTCCTTTATATCAAGATTAACATTCACACCACGTCTGAATTCAAGCAAAAAACAACCACAACGGCAGGCGCTCAATGAGGTCGGTTTTGCATTAGGTTTTGTGCATTCTACAGCGGGGTGAGTGTTAGCGCGCTCAAATCACGCTTCTTTGGTGTGGTAATTCCGAGGGTCGTTGTAGCAGCGCCCAATCCCCGCAAATCTCCGCAAATTAGATCTACTGCTTGTGCTCGCCGCCAATGACCCCAATCTCCTGAACTGCGGGTTGACTGTAGCTGATGCCACTAGCTACTGCTGTGACCCTCCGTTCAAAGGATAACGGTCCGTGGCGATGAGCACAGCTGTGACAGATGTTGGTTTCCGGCGTAGACTACGGGCGACTTTCAGACACTGCTGCGACCTTCGATGTTTCAGCTCCAGTTGCAAACCTGAACGCGCCAGCACGCACGACGCCTCGTTATCTCTATTAATGACAGCAGTACATGTCATTGACGGGAAGGTTTCTGGGTTAGTCTTATATACTGGATAAAGCATGAAGAAAGGGGGCAGCCTTGGAAAGAGTTTGCTTGTTGCGATTTTTCAAACACTCACCCAGACGTACCCTCCGAGCACGACAAAAAAGACGGAACCACTTTTCATGCAGGGGGGATCGAGAAACAAGCGGTTGAAGCACCGCTGCCGCCCATTTCTCGCCCAAGACTTGGACGATTTCGCCGCCTCCGTTTGGGCTTGTATTGACCAAATTTCTCCGGTGAAAAGAGTTTGCTTATTGCGATTTTTCAAACACTCAGCCAGACGTACCCTCCGAGCACGACAAAAAAGACGGAACCACTTTTCATGCAAGGGGGCTCGAGTAACAAGCGGTTGAAGCACCGCTGCCTGCCGCCCGTTTCTTCCCCAACACTTACTTGGACGATGTCGCCGACTCCGTTTGGGCTTGCATTGACCAAATTTCGCCACTTTAACCCATTTTGTGACTAACCCCACTCTGGGGTGAGGATAGCAGTGAGGTTACTCTTCCTAGCTCTACAGTTTTGGTGTTCTGAGCGCTGCCGACCAAGGGCTACCGCGCGAATAGATCGCGTGCGCGCGTGCTCGCGCCGTGCGGAGACACATGCAGCAGAGTCCCTCCGTGAAAAAAACACACGCGGGAGTTCCACATGATGAGCAGCCCCGCGACACGAGGGCAGACCTGCCTCTCGCGCGCAAACACCAAAAGGCGGGCAAGAGGCGCGATGAGGACCCAATTTTTGACGCTACTGCTTGTATTGTTCCGTTTGTCCACCATGGCTGCTGCTGTGGCAGATAGCGAATGGGTTTTGTGCGATGGTGCCTTGACACGCACCGAGCTTCAACACAGCCTGCCGTGAGAGGCCGTGCCGCGTTCGAGTGTGCACACCTGTAGCCATTCGGCTACCTTGCCAGGGTGGGGAGATTTCACCCTGTCAAGGTCACCCTGGAAGACTACGCTGCAGGCTTGACCCAATGGCAGGGTGGGTACCCTGCCAGGGTACTGATCCCACACCCTGTACGTACCCTGCCACTCAGGGACCCTGGCGGGGTGCAAACCCTGGGAAAACACTCTGGAGGCCGTGTCAGCCAAGTGGTATTGACGGGGCCGAAAAATTGGATATTTTCCTTTCGATATTTGTTTGGTTATTTTCTCTTTGTATTTTTTGTTTCATTTGTCTTTTTTTTAGTTTTTCCCTTGTCGTCCCTTGCAGCAGCATGTACTGTAGTGCTCCTAGACGTACAAACACGCTCAAGCTCATCCACGCCATATATGTCGCCTTTTGACACCCCCCCGCCCCCCGCCCTGATCTGCGCCTTTCCTTGCTTCCCCCTCCCTTCGCAACATACATGTACAACTCCGGCGCGTCAATTCCATCAACAAACAACGTACCGCATGATACTGCTACTATGAGGGGACCTCAAGGCACCCTATATATACCTCCCCTACAGGGTACATGATGACGTCACCGATTGCACGTACAGAGGCCGAACGCTGCACGCAATATATAATGCTTCTTCGACATAACACGAACGAACACGCTCCATGTGCCCAGCATAGCCAGCTGGCAATGAATGCCAAACCCTCTCCCCCAAATTATCTGATTCCATCGTAAAAAGATAAAAATATATAAAACTGCGACGAAGAATTATTCTTTCGATGGAACAATTAAAAACCAACGCGATGAAGTTCTCTCGATGGAAAAAAATTAAAAACAAAAGAAGTTGAAGGACTCTTTGAGTAACTTACCACCCAAGAAAAACTGCCACGATGAATTTTCTCTCGATGGAATAAAGTAAAAAAAAAGTTGAAGGACTCTTAAGTAACTTACCACCGCGATGAATTTTCTCTTGATGGAATAAATTAAAACAAAAAAAAAATCGAAGTACTCTGAGTAACTTACACCCAATAAACACTGCCACGATGAATATTCTCTTGAGATGGAATACCCTGAAAACCAAAAAAAAATAGAGGTACTTTGTGAGAAACTACAACATCGGGAACAACCGCCCCGAAGACTTTTTCCTTCGATGGACCATGCATGAGATACGGAAATATCAAGACGCGAGGCTCGAGCCATAGCAATCTCGATGCAGCGACGACAGCTACCCACGTGCACCACTCCCATCACGCTAATGTAATTATCCATCCAACCCCCCGGCCACAAAAACATGACTTGTCAACTTCTCGTTTAATAACGTGTACCAGTGGTAAGGTTTATGAAACACGGATTCGTAGCTCACAGTCGGCCCACGCCAACACCTCCCGCAAATAGTGGAGGTTTCAAGACAAGATGGATGCACCGATGCTATTCGAGATGCACTCTCCATGGGCACCTGCCATATACCATCAACACGGCCATGGCCCCGCCCCTCGCACGCAAAACATTAAAACATGTCGTTGAGGTATGCTTCAAGATCATCATCCTGGACATAAACGTCTGCCGCCGGGGTCTCCGGCACAACGAGGCTGTCCTTCTCGACGTAGTAGGGGGCGAGGAAGCGCATGATCTCCGGCTTGTGGAAGTCGGAGCTGGGGATGGTAAGGATCGTCGCCGTGCAGCGTCGCGGTCCAGTCATGAACTGGAACAAGTTGTACCATAGGCTGGGCCGGGCCGTCGTGGGGAAGAGGGGGGGTGCGCACCGATTCGGATCAGTTGTTTGTCGCTCCACATGTGTGCTACACATGGTCATCAACAGCCATCATGAAGAGTAAAAGTTTTTTCTAATAGACCGCCATCCAAAACACGTGTGGTACGGATAGAAAATATTCTTGTCGCAACCGTAACGGAGGTTAACTCTAATCTATATTTTCTGTGGGAGACGCTAACGTACCCTAATACTACTGTAACTCCGGGAATGCAGGTAATTGGGATCATCGATTACCTCTCTTGGAAGGCCCGGGCGTTGCCGGAACCAAAGCCGCCGGCAGATAGCTTGATCCAGGCTCTCGACTTCCGAGTGACCTTGCAGACAATTGTCTCGTGGGTGCCGATCTCGTTGACCGGAAGGGCCGCGATATCGGTAGCTGCGTGCAGCAATGCGGGAGTGACAACCTGATGTGCAATTGAGGGTCATCAAGAGGATGAGGGGGAAGACAAAAGAAGGGTGTCATCAAGAGGACGAGGGGAAAGACGAAACCAGAGCCCACAAAAAAAATGCCATGGGAAGTCCTTCAACTTGCTACCGCTCGCCCGCGCTACCGGAGGCATACAATGTGGGCTCTAGTCCTGGAATACGATGACCTGTTCGGGTTGCAGGCACATGCTGGCAGCCTGCGTCGCGTTAACAAATAAACGGGCGCTAGGTCTACAGACAAGTAGGCGTGCACGCAACAATTTCGTCACCTGTCCAAGGAAGTCTTCCTTCAGTCTCTCCGGTCCCAAGAGGTACCCCAAGGTGATGGCCTTACGGGTGGAAGCTTGGTGCGCCTTGGTAAAGCGCCACATGCTGCGGGACATCAGGCCAGTCAGTTCCTGGGAAGGCCGAGTTCACACAAATAGTAGGGAAAAGGGGTTAGTTGTGTACGGGACGTAGGAGAGCGTTGCGCGCCTACCAGAAGATTTTGGTAGGCTCGTTTTTGAGTCGTTTACCTCCGACTCGGGGTCGACGTCCATTATCCGCTCGCGGACGCCACGGAGGAGGTCCGCGCCGGTCATCGGGTTGTTCGTGGATGCTTCCTCTTCCATGAGAGGGATGAGGAATTCGGCGATGGCGTTGCGGATCTCTGCGTGTAGTTCCGACCTCGCCGAGACGACTGCTTTCACGAATATGGCTGTGGCAGTGGATGCAGAGAGCACGAAACAGCACATGGGTCATTTGAGTCTACCTCACAACGTTCAACAGTGAAGGGAGACGAAGCGCGACAACACGTACATACAGACGAAGGGGCGGAATGGCACGACTACATAAAACGCGGGAAATTTCCAGGACATCGCGGACAGACGGAAACGTGGCTCTGTGAGAGGCCGAGAGAGCAAGACCTTTTCTGTAAATAGAGTTAATATTAATGTCGGGATTTCGCCGCTGGGTTAGGGTTATATGACAGTGGAGTTGCGCACGTGAAGAACAAATATTGAACGGTCTGCAAACAAACGCCAGAATGCGTTACCATGCAGCGACAGAATTGCTGAACCTCAGGGTAGTACACCAACAACTACGGAAACCAGGATCACCGGGGAAGGTGTTCAGGTTTTGCCTCGCTCTCGGCCACGCGTGAGGACCCAACGCGAGGAAAGGGTTTGTCAGAGCGTTGGTGGGCCCCCCGCCGGAAAATTGCATCCTGGCGGGGCCGACGAACCCATAGGCGTAAACACTCATGACGTTCGCAGCGACCCCGCGGGCAGTCTTCTCGCCGGGGCCCACTGTCTTCTTGGAGGACTCGCCGCCGAGCATGTTGGCCTGTGTTCGAGCAAAGACAGCAAGCGAATGTCTCCTGATGTAGTAAGGCGACGCGCACACTACATAGTACATGGGCGAGAAAACACAGGAACATGGACGATAGCAAATGCGGTCATCGCGTACAGGCAGGAAGTGTTTGCGCGTGAAGTTTGGGTGGCAAGGTTTCGTAAAATAACATATGGACTGGTGCGAGTAACGCGGACGCCTCCCGTGGGCACAGGGCAACCAGCCCCAGAAGCCGTACACACCTATTAATCAGCGAAGAGGAACATCAAATGCGAGATAAAATGGCGAAATGACAAATCGGGGGTTGAAATCGGCAAAAAAAAAACGAAGAGAAAACAGGAAGAACCTCACTCAGAAATAAAGACGCAGAGCCCATGCCTCCTGCTCTCAACCCGATGCCAAGGCTACGCAACGATAAAACAGTTACCTCATCCTAGACAACTGCAACTAGGCTCGCGGCCGAAGTCCAAGCATTCCCCACAGATACACAAACAAAAAAACCAATGGGTGGTGATTCTAAGATCAGTCCACCAGCGCGTGCATGCTCCACTTCCACTCGAACAAGAAAAAAAACCAAGAAAAAGACGATACGTTTTACTACCCTTCTTCTCATGATAAAAGAAACCACTCACCACGTCGGGGCTGATGAGCTGCAGCAAAAGGCCCAACAGCGCGGCCTTCGCCGCCTTGGGCACCAGCGCAGTGTCAAGCGCGTCGAAGAGGTTTTGTCCGGACATCTCCATGTTGATGGTTGATACCCCGCCAATGCCCGTCTCGTGGCACTTCTCCCTGTGGTGGCGCTCTTGAACAGAGCGCTTACCCAGGGTGCGGAAGGTCGTGGTGCTCGCCCCGGTCGAAGTGGAACCACCGCCCGTGGGACCACCAGACCTGGTACCGCCACTGTGTGATGTACCAGAAGCTGAACTCTCGTTGCCGTTGATGCCAGTCGACACACGTCTGGATTTAGCCTGGTGTCTTGCTGCGCTCTGATCCGATGACACACCACTGGTTGACTCGCCACCTTCCGAAGAACCAGCGCCAGGCCACCCCAAGGGGGCACCGCCCGAGGCACTGCCAGAGCCGCGGCCGCCGAGTAGACCGGATTGACGACCGCCGCCGCCCACGGATGACGCGCGGCCGCGCCAGGCCTGCCGGATGCGCCACCGCCCGAGGCCCTGCTGTGTCCGTGGCCGGCTAGAAGACTGGGTTGACCAGTGCGGCCGCCGACGGATGATGGGCGGCCGCGTGCGGACGAGGCTCCGCGGTCAGGGCCACCGGTGGAATTGCGGCGAGCAAAATCGGACCGGCGGACACCTCCTCCGCCGATCGCCGAGCGCGGGACGCGAACGTCAAGGGTTGTGCGCATGGGCGCGATGTTGGACGATCGGAGAAGATTCTGGCTCTCCTCGTCGTCACTGCCGATCTCGTCCGGGTCCAGGGTGTACGAGGAGTCAGAGTGTTCGGGCTCCTCCTCGTCGGGCTCCTCCTCGTCGGGTTCCTCTTCTTCGGGCTCCTCCTTTTCGGGCTCCGGCTGGGGTGGTTCTTCATACGTGGCCTGTCATGACCGGATGCGAGCGATAAGGATAGGGCGCATGTAGGTTTGGATATTCGAAAGCCTTTGTACGGAGAAGGATACGGGAAACTTGACAGGTCCGGGTCTACTTTTCTTCGCTGCGTTCTAATTTTCCACTTAAAAAAACATGGGTTAGGGTAGTCAAGAGTCGGGAGAGGCGGTGGTTTCCTGATAGGTCGAGGTCGGTGTTTGGCTGCATTTAGTTGTATACGGTTGTCGTCGTTTTGGGGCAAAATATTCGAAGAAGGGTACCGCAGGCACACATATCACTGGCCGGTTCAGCAGTACACAGAGCACACACAAGAGTAGAAGGGGCTTGTGGGGCATGGAGGCAACATGTCCGCGCCGTTGGCTGCTGATACCGCCGCTGCCTCCAGATCACGGCGCAGCGGCGCAGCAACAGTGGAAAAATAAGAGCAGCTAGCTGCCTAAAAGGAGCGGCAACTTTGATGGCGATCGCCAGAACCTATCCATCGCGCAACGCCAACAGAGGGTGGCATGCTGGGGCGGTACGCACGCAGTTCACCAATTTTACTAAACTACCGGTTCGCTGCTTGTGTGGTGTGGGTGGTGTGGCTGCCCCTACGCTGAGAGGAAGAGAAGGATACTATTTTGTCGTTCGCTGCGACTCGACGGACGTCGTACAACAGAACCAAGCATCCCATTACATTTCTGCACACATGACCAAGCGCGGCTATAGTTTGTGGTGGCGACGTAAGGAAGGACTGCACACGTGAACGCAAGAAACTTTCTGTTCTCCCGTTGGCAACAATAGACGGCGAAGTCGAACAGCAGGGGTAGGAGGGACCTAGCTACATTAAAGCAGGCGCGGACGTAATTGCAGCACCGCACCCCTCCCTATGTTTGCTGCTCCAATCAACACTCGTGTGGCTACCTTTGACTGCTGCTGGCCTCCATTGCCAATTGCAAAGGGATGTAGGCTAGGAAAATGATTGTATGGTCATGCAAGTAACATGTCGCTCAAGGTGCTGACGTCTGTACGCGTGACTTTTAAAAAATAGCACTGGGAGGAGGGTAATCAACTAAAATTCAGCCGACGGCTGCTTCCCTGCTCTTGGCACATCTGTATAATAAGCCCGCTTGTTGTGTATCCACGTCGCGGTCGTCAAGATATACAATAGGAGAGAGGAGCCTACCTTGCCTCTTTAGCCACAAGCGCGCTGGTCAAGGAATGGCTGTTGGGTCGAGAGGGGGACGAGGGGAAAGGAAGGAGAAAAAATTAAATATATGTATGAACTGTCACCCAAACCTTGCACAGGCGCCATCCGCAGTTGATCGACACATGCCCTGCTCAGCTGAAAAAAAGAGATTTGTGAAAACCGTTTTTTTTATCGCTTTCAGAACCACCAAAAGAACGTCCAAAAAAATGTAAAAAAACAAATTCTTCGGGAACCCCTTCAACTATTTTTCACTGCAATCTCGACCGATTTGGTTTTTCTACAACTCGGCAATCGAATCTGCTTGGCCAAAACTGATTCGCAATTCTCCACCCTTGTTCGTCATATGCTAAAAATTTCAGCCCAATCAGAGCGAGTTAAGAGGGAGGGCATATTTTCAGTCCATCTCCGCTTTCTGGTGTTTTGAAAGTTTTCCCTCGAGACAGCAAACCCGGTTGAAACCCGTGTAGTAGATACGATTTGTTTCTCCAAACCTCGAGGGGCGGTCGGATACAACAATCAATACGAACACACACACAAAAAAATCAGACCTTAGCCGGGGATGGTTTATCACCCCCCCCCTCCACCCGACATACTGTTTCTTCCTCCATGTACAAAAAGCCTACGACACCGTATGGCGCAATGGATCGTGGAAAAAGATGTGGGACAACGGCATCCGGGGGAAAATGTGGAGGATGTTGAAAAAGATGACAGAATGCACAAGAAGTGCGGTGATGTTGGATGGGGAAATTTCGAAGTACGTGGATATACTCCAAGGAGTCGCACAGGGCTGTACGATGTCACCCACTCTTTTAAGATTTACATCAACGATTTGATAAGGGCGGTTGAAGCAGTAAGAAAGGGAGTCCAAGTAGGGGGAAAGAGTGTGTCCGGACTGATGTTTGCAGATGATTTTGTGGGGGTATCCGAAACTCCAGAAGGGTTGCAAGAACAAATAGATGCGGCGGTAGGATACACCCGAAAATGGAGACTGTCGGCGAACGTAGGAAAATGCGCAGTAGTGGTCTGTAACGAAGACAAGAAAAATCCCGTAGAATTCACATGTAAATGGGCGGAGGAAGAACTACCTGTTGGTAAACTCGTGGCTTCTGGGGAAAAGATGTTGTATTGATGAGACCTTGGATCAGGAGAACAAGTCAAAAGGTGGAGTGAGCTGGGTGCGCGAGCACCGCGGCATCAGCCATGTCGCTCGACCAACACACAAAACATGGAACTCGGACCAATGTACTATCCGACATACCGAGAACACGCTCGGGTCTATGAACCATCCGACATACCGAGAACACCATCCACGAAGAACATTCCTAGAAACATTCCTACCAAACGACAGTCCCGTTATTTGAACTTCCTGTCAGTGTTCTGCGCTACTCTGTTGACACACAGCAGCAATAATCACGAACACCCTCCCTTGGGGCTGTTGTCTTCGACCAGATCAAATATATATCAGAAAAACAACAAACAAAAAGAAAACACGACTCAGACCTCTACTTCTCAGATCTTGAGCCTAGAGCAAAACTACGATGAACTTCAAAAAGATCTTTCGGCAGAGCCTTCGTCAGGATGTCCGCATGCTGTCCTTCGCTAGAGACATGACTGATTTCCAACACTCCCTCCTCTGTCAAATTCCTAAGAAAATGGTGCCTCACGTCAATGTGCTTACTGTTACACGAACTAAGTGGATTCTCAGCAAGTGCAATCGCACCCTCGTTATCCTCGCGTACCTGAATCTTACCAAGCTTCTCACTAGGCCTCAAGAACTCGAGCATTCCATTGACAAACAGAGCCTCTTTCACACCGTCACCCATCGCAACATACTCTGCTTCAGTTGTTGAAAGTGTGACACATTTCTGCGTCCTAGAAATCCAAGCAACAAGACAGTCAGCTACAAGAACTAGTGCTCCCGAAACTGATCTACGGTCAGTGGCCTTACTGGCGAAGTCTGCGTCTACGTACACCAACGTGCCTACGTCTACCATAGTGTCCTGCTTGTACTTCAAAGTTAGATGTGCCGTCTCCAGAAGATAATTCAGAATCTTCTGGGCCGCCTTCCAGTGGCTCTTCTTTGGCTCGTGAGAGTGCCTCGCCACCGCCCGCACAGCATTTGAGATGTCGGGCCTTGTCTGGTTGGCGATCCACACCAGGCTCCCCACCACCTCTCGGAACGGCACATCTCCTGCCCCCTCATCCTCCATCACGGACCTGTAATCACTAACAGGGGAAGCAGGGATCGAGCTGGTGCGACAAACATTGAATCTCTCGAGAACACTCCTGATGTAACTCTCTTGAGACATCTCAATCGTACCAGCCTTGCGGTCGCGAACGAATGCGCAACCAAGAAAGAACTTGACCTCGCCCAAATTCTTCGTGGGGAGAGAGTCACCTAGCGGATCCACAACCATCTTGGCAAGCCTCTCAATTCCTGCATACAGAATGTCATCCACATGAATCGCAATCATACCCAACACCTCGTCTCCCATCATGAAACGAAGAACGCAGGGGTCAGACAGAGACTGTTCGAAACCAATCCTCTTCAGGTCCGACACAAGTCTCTTGTGAAATGTTCTAGATGCCTGTCTCAGTCCATACAAACTCTTGTCTAAACGGACTACCTTTCCTGTCATCGACTCACAGCCAGGAGGCAACTTCATGAACACCTCGTGATCCAATTCCGACTGAACAAACGCTTGCTCAATGTCAAAGTGAAGAAATTCCAAATCATACTTGCACGCCAATGCTACCAACAAACGAATCGATGCAGCATTTGCAGTAGGCGAGAAAGTCTCAAGATAATCCACACCATACTTCTGCTTGAAGCCCTTCGCTACAAGCCTAGCCTTGGCCTTCACTATCTTACCTGTTTCATCTGCTTTCCATTTGTAGACCCATCTAGCATCTATCACGTTACAGCCTATCGGAGCCTTTACTGCTAACGCAAACGTTCCTGCTCTTAACAAGCCTTCAAATTCTACAG